GGCACTAAAGCCAGTACTATGGCACTGGCTTTTTAAAATATATATATATTTATTGATTTGAGAGAGAAGGGGAGAGGGAGAGAGTGAAATAGCAATGTGAGAGAAACATTGATCAGATTGGTTGCCTGCCGTATGCACCCCGGCCTGGGATCAAACCACAAACCGGTATGTGCCCTGACTGGGAATCGAACCCGTGACTTTTCAGTGCACGCTCAACCAACTGAGCCACACCGGCCAGGGCAGCACTGACTTTTGAGAAAAGAAAAAAAAGATTTATTGGGAAGTCAACCAGCAAGGAGATAGGAAGCAAGCCTCAAACTGCCTCCCAGATCGAGGGTTGGGGGGCAGGGGTAGCGTAAGGGAAGAACAGTCTGGCGCGTGGAGGGCTGGCCGGGCAGGTTTCAATCGGAGGGTTTCAGCGCCGGATCGTTCTGGACAACAGACCCTTAGATTCTGAAAGGACTCAGATGATCAAGTTCCGGTCAAGTCTCAGCTTTTTGGTTCCAGGAGGTTGGGGGTGAAACTTTGGTTCTGGGTGTTGCTATGTATAGATCAAAATTCTCTCCTGTTGACCCCAGTACGTATCTTGTTAGAATGGGGGTAAGGCCAGCTTGCTGGTTCTGCAGTTACAGTGTTAATGAACGAAATTCAACGCAGTCGATGTACAGATTGTGAATCAGGCTGCTTCCCGTCCAGTAAACGGAAGGGTACCGAGAGGCGCTGTGCAGATGGAAGGCTTCTCTTGGGGGACAAGGAAGTGAGAAGAGTGGATTATTCCAGACCAGGGCACCTTCTCTTGGGAGAGATGGGGGAGACCTTAACAGGCAGATGCCTCACTAGTGCTCACCAGGAAATTCCGGACGATGGATTTCAGAATTCCACTCCTGGGAGAGGCGGGCACTGCAGTGAGGCTAGGCCCTGAGTCTCGCGGGGTTTACCACAAGGGATTCCATTTGGGTCTGTCTGTCTTTAGCACTGGAGAGCCAACCACAGTTGACAATATTGTTGCCCTGGAAAATGCCTTAAGCTGGAGCCCACGTGTGTTAAGGGACTGCCGCTAGGAGAGAATGGATGGCTCTGGGGTCTTCCTTCTTATCTCTTAGTTGGCATCACTGCTAGGCCTGTGTCAGCTAGCTGGCATTATGGGAGTGAGACTGGGGTCAGTCACACCCTTTGTCCTAGTCGGCTGTGCAGTGAAGGCGTGATAACAGAACGTGGCAGGCTCAGGAGGCCAGGGGCCTGGGGTGGGGCCATGGCTCTAACGCCATGAATGTCCCCGGGTCTGATGGAGTGTTCAGAGTGGGCAGAAGGGCATCTTTCATCTGGCTCAGCTGCCAGGCTGGGAGAAGCCTCAAGGGGCTGACTCCATACCTCCGGAGAGCTCAGCATTCTTATCACCTCCTGGCCCATTCATTCATTCATTCATTCATTTATTAAATATATCTTTATTGATTTCACAGAGGAAGGGAGAGGGGAGAGAGATAGAAACATCAATGATGAGAGAGAATCATTTATCAGCTGCCTCCTGCATGCTCCCTACTGGGGATCAAACCCGGGCATGTGCCCCTGACCGGAATCGAACCCGGGACCCTTCAGTCCGCAGGCCGATGCTCTATCCACTGAGCCAAACCGGCTAGGGCTGGCCCATTTATTTTTAAAGTTGCCAACTATTCTGGGGACCCCCTGAAATTTCTTCAAGAAAAATGGCATGTGGACTAGAGAGGGTTCCTGATCTTTTGCAACCTCTCCGTTCTGTGGTCCAGGGCGAAAAGCTAACGAGAAGGAGCGGCAGGCGGCCCTCCAAGTGGCCGAGGGCTTCATCTCCCGCATGCGGTACGCCCCAAACACGCAGGTGAGGAGACACCGTGCCCCTGACCCTCTGCCTGGGACACTCCCTTGACCTGCTGCCACTCAGACGGGACAGAAGGGCAGGAAAGCCTCGGGCAGTGAGGGACAACCTGGCCTCCCTACCAGACCCACCCAGCGGGGGAAGCTCTTCTCTATCCTTGAAAAACTTAAAGTAAATGTGATTTTCCAAGAGGGTGTTGGGCAGCACTCCCCCGGGAGCCGGTGAGCCTCTGAACAGCTTGTGCACTTCTGGGCCACCGCCCCAAGCTGGTACCACCCCTTCTCACCCCAGCGTGGTGACTCTACAAGTCATTCAAGCCATTTCGCGGAGAGTTGGTAAGGCTCATCTGTAATTGGCACGTCTCGCAAACTGTTTCCTACATCCTGGGAGCAGTCTGTCTCCTCAGCCGTGACCTGTAATCTTTCCCAGCTCTTATCACCTTGCGGGAGCATCCTTGGCCTGGACAGCAAGTGGACTGAGGCCTGGTGCCTAGCCTGCCCCCTCCCCACCCCCCACCCCATCCCCCGCATTGTCCTTCCCTGGTAGAGGCAGAGATGGCATCCTTGTGAGCAGGTCTCCCCCTGTTGTCCCTGCAGGTGGAGATCCTGCCCCAGGGCCGAGAAAGTCTCATCTTCAAGCAATTCTTCAAGAACTGGAAGTGAGAGGGCCGTCTCGCTGCGCACCCCCCGCCTGCTTGTTCTTCCTCCTGCTGCCCGGTCAGTGCCGAGGTGCCCTGCAGATGTTCAATAAAGGAGACAAGTGCTTTCCCCGCTCTCCGCCTGCACTGCTGCCCCGGGCTCGCTCTCCCCGCCCCACCTGCTCACCGGGCTCATTCCTATGCTGCGGTAGAGTGGGATCCAGGGGACACGTTCTCCCCTCCGAGGGGCCTGCGCTGGCTTTGCAGGATTAAGGCAGAGGGGCCGGGAGTCCCAGTGGGCCTGGCAGGTACTGCTCTGAACCCAACAGGGAGGTGGCCCAGCGCCAGGCTCAGGATCACTTGCAGCCAGAGGCTTCAGATCAGTCTCACGTTCCCAATTGGGAGAAGGTCGTGGCAACTGGCTGGGGCTGCCTCTCCGTCCGAGCCAGCATTTCCTCAGCTGCCCCAATGAGCCACTGCTTCCGAATGACGCACGCTCGCCAGGCAACAGCACCACCTTCCCTCCTGGGCAGAAGTCTGGCTTGTCACTTCACGGCACATTGTGTCACGTGTTACCTGGGCCCGAGTTCATGCTCTTGCGTAATAGGTGGTGGCTGGAATATCAAAGCGGCTAGATCGCTAAATAAGGGGAGAACGGAGTTGCCCCAAAGTGGTCCCATCCTGAGCACATGACCCAGGGGGACGAGCGAGGCAGGGCCGTGTGAGCTTCGACCAGAGTGCGAGGCCTGGCACATCTGTGCTGACCCAAGCTCACCCCTGGGCCCTCGGGGCTGTGCGGCTTCAGAGCTGACATGCTTGCTCTTTCCAGTCAAAATGGAAATTCTAATCAAGTTCATCTTGTTGATTTTGTGCCAAGAGGCATAAAAAATCAGCTCCCTGGATATCCGCCTTTTTCTGCACAGTCGTCCACCTGACAGCCGACACAGAGCAGTACCAGGGGGCGTTTTTTAAAGGGCACTACTCTGCTATCTTGACTGGAAGCTTCAGGGATGATTTTTAAAAGGGGGAGTTAGGGGCTGCACCAAATCTGTAGTTCTCACACCTTTAGGGTTGTGAAGCATATTAAGTCTCCCATGAAAGGCCTGGGCAGGCCCTTCCCTGCCCAAAACTGCAGATTAAGATTTTTGTATCTACTTTTTCATTTTTTAAAATTTTTATTTAAATTCTCACCCAAGAATATTTTTTTTATTGACTTTTAGAGAGAGTGGAAGAGAGAGGGACAAAAAGCAGTATCAATGTGAGAGAAACACATGGATTGGTACCAGGGCCTGGGCCAGGGAGGAGCCTGACACTGAGGTACATGCCCTTGCCCAGAATCGAACCTGAGACCCTTCGATCTGCAGGCCAACGCTCTATCCACTGAGCCAAACTGGCTAGGGCTTTGCATCCATCTACTTTCAGAGTTTTTAGAGACTAACACCGGTCCCCCCTTCCCCCGCACCGGCCCCACTCCAAACAGTCCATCAACAGAGCTTGATCCCTGGACTGTTACTGCTGTGAGCGCTCCGCTGTCTGGAGGGTGCGGGAAGAGGGCACCTGAGAGGCCCATTTGGCCGGGCCCTGGCAGTGATCAGACTGGGCATGCATCAGGTCTGCGAGAAGCTGGTCTCAGCGCAGGTGGAAGGAACCTGACACCTAAGTGGAGGCTGGGCTGCGGCCCTTCTGCCTTCCCACCCACCCATCTCCCTGCATCTCTGCGGTCAGCTAAGCCCAGGCTGGAGGAAGGATTAGTTCAGTCGGGCAAAGATGACACAGGCACACTGCAGGGCCCACTGCCAGCCCCGCCCCCAAGGCATCCTGCTGACAACCCCACCCCTGTGATGGCCCCACCTCCAGAGGGTCAGCCTTGGAGAGGCCTGCAGGGGCTAACAGGGTCTTCCACGCTCTACCTGAGTGAGGGCAGAGGACAGGAGAGCAGTGTCCTGGGGCCCCGGCCCCAGGTCAGGATTCCCTGGCCTGGAGGCTGTTTTGTGAATGAAGGAACAGCCAGCTTCCCCAGAAACAAATGCAGGAAAAAAACCAGTGTGGGCACTTCATACCAGTCCATCTTTTGTTGTTGTTAATCCTCACCTAAGGATATTTTTCCATTGATTTTTAGAGAGAGTGGGAGGGGGAGACACTGAGCAGCATTGATGTGAGACACATCAATTGGTTGCCTCCTGCATGTACGTGACCAGGCTGGGGATTCAGCCTGCAGCCCAGGTACATGCCCTGGACCGGAATCAAACTCGGGACCCTTCAGTCCATGGGCCAATGCTCGATACAGTGAGCCACACTGGCTAGGGCACACCAGTCAATCTTACCTCGCCCACTGGTTAGAGTCTCTGGACCCAGAGTGCAGGGTGCACGTCATGTGAACTCAGTGGGAGTTTGGTGAGGGCACAGCGCCCTCTCCGGGAGCCCTGGCCAGGGCCTTCACCCGGTAGAAGTGCCAGGCTCTAGCAGGGCTCAGGGAAGGGACAAGGCTAGTCTTGGAGGAAACACATGGAAACCTTAACCCAGAACAATTCTTTTATTCAATAACTTCTGATTTCCTCCTTCCCCCAACCAGGCTAGAAAACCATCTGTGATGGGCACCGCACAACCTCCATGGGAAGCCCGGCCTGCAGGCAGTTAGGATGGGCAGCAATGGAGACTCGGCCAGAGGCCCTGCTCTGTCCCATAAACAGCGGGAAGGAGAGGAGATGGGACAAATGCCAGGCCCGAAGCCCCAGAGGGGTTCTTCTACTGGCCTGGTGGATGGAGGAGAGGAAGGGGGGCCCAGCTGTGGCCTCAGGCATCTTGCTCTTGTTCATGCTGCCCCCTGTTGGCGGCTGCCACTGCCACTACCACCTCCCTTCATGTTCTAACTAGACACTCTATGTCCCTGTCTGGTCCCTGTCCCATGGCTACCAGGGTCTGAAAACCCTACCTGGGGGCGTGTGGAACATCCTGGTGGGGCTCCCACCCCACGATCCATTCACTCTCACCGAGATGACCTGGACCCAACTCAGATGACATCAAAGGACGCAGATCTGTACGGAGTGCGTCAAGTCTGACTGCCCCTGTGTCCCAATAGGAGGAGGGTCCTTGCTTCACCGACCAGGCCTGGGAGCATCCACATCCCTTCTGCTGAGATGGGAAGGGGCGTGGTCCAGCCAGGTGTTCCTGATATGGTTTGCCTCGGCAGTCAGACCGGCCACGTGCCTTCGGATGAGTGTGGTGGCAGGTCACATACGCCTGTGAAAGTGAGGTCCTTGGAGTGAGGGGCTGGTGCCTCACGGCACTTCTGTGCTCCCAGCAAGGAGGTCTGTCCCTTCGATACTCCAGCCAAGTAGATCTCCAGGGTCTTGAGCAGCCGCCGTGGGCTCTTCTTGGCCAACACTTCCAAGTCTGGAACAGAGAGCATTGGGAACAAAAGGCTTGAGGGGGCTTTGGATACACAGTCCAGGGCCCAGCAGCTCTAGGGAGTAGCCCCAGCCCAGGTTCTATGGAGAGAGGTGAAAGAGACCTCTAAGATGGGGAGCTCACCATGGAGGGAGATCAAGGGACCACAGGGTCCACAGGGACCACACACTCTACCTTGCCCAGGACAATTGCAACTTTGAATAGTCAGTCCACTGTCGGACTCAGCTTTTGATTCAGAAAATATCACCACAGGTATAAGGGCAGAAAGGGAGGAGGGGGTGGCAGAGAAGGGAGAGCTAGCAGGCTCCAGAGGGTGGGCTGGAAGGGAACTGCAGCCAAGCCCAGTCTAGTCACCACCCTGAGACCCCTAAGCCCGGGACGCCCTGGAAGAGGAGGGTCTCCCCAGAAGAAAGAGCACACCTTTGAGGACAAAGCCCGAGTCTGCGATGGTCTTCTGCTGCGTCTTCCAGACATGAGCGAGGTGGAGGAAAGTGGCAGCATAGAAGCTGTTCACCACCGGGATCACCTTCTGCTGCCGATTACACTCCCTGCAGGAAGGAAGGTGGTGGACAAAGGCTGGCACCTGGGTGCCCTTCCCCACTACCCTCCCGGGGAGCCATTCCCCAGGCAGCCTTCACATCTGAGCTCAGGGTTGGGGAGGGGCTGGCAGATGGGTACCAGTGCACATGGACATTGCCTAGTGCCCCCAGAAGCCAGCAGGTGAGGAAGGAAGCTGGGGAGAATGAGGCAGGGAGGGAGGGAACCAGGCTCTGCTGGGTCCTTCTAATCAGCCGGTAGGGTCGAGGGGGCGGGGGGATGAGCAGTGGGAGGACTCACCTGGAGAGACACTCCTCTCTTAAGGCCTGGATTGCGATGCGGGTGATATTCACAGACATCAAACAGAAGGGGAATTGCTGGAATGGAAGTGGTACCAGGTCAGTGGCAACCCAGGTCTTGCCTTCTGTGTTTCCCATCTCCCACACCCAGCCTGGCCTGCGGGCAATAACAACAGTCGCAGCCCAGAGGCAGGCTGTTTCCATTTAGTTTTCACAGTGATCCTTCCATCTCACAGATGAGGATACTGAAGCTTCGTGAAATACCTTAAGGCAGCGGAGCCAGGATTCTAACTGGGTTAATTCACGCCAACCTGGTCTGCATAACCCCTGGGAGAGCTCTCCCGCTTCTTCAACATCCCAACCCATGAGCTCTCTCTGGCCTTCACCAGACCTACCCATGTGCTGCCAGGGACCACATCACCCCTGGGGTTAGGATGAACATGAGAGACTGGGGCCCAGGTACCGAACTAACTATATAGGTTCTTAAAGTCTCTTCCCTTCCCTGGGCTTCTGGTTATTTGCTCAGAGCACTTCATCCAAAATCAGACAGAGAAGGTGCAAGTACGTAGAAAGTCAGCCTTGACTTGCTGGACACCCCATCTCTCAGTAGCAGAGGCCTGAGCACTCCCGAGAGGCGGCATGGGGTCCCACCAGCACTTCACCAGGGTGGGCCTCAGAATGCCCTGCAGGGCCCACCTCAAAGCTTTGTTTTTAGAGGAGCAAATTCCTTCCTATTTAATAACAAAACAAAACACACACACACACACAAGCACACAAAAGCAAAAGCAAATGAAAAACGTTTTGCAGGGAATGTGCAAATGTTACATGTTAGTTTTCATTGTTGCATGTACACAAGGGCATCCACTGAGGAGAGATCGGTGCATTCCATAGTTTAGAACAAGAGTCACAGTCTATTTATCTCATCTACTTCCCCTGAGAAAAAAAACTCACTACATTATGATATACTGTGCTGTCCAGTGTGGTAGCAACTAACCACATGCACCTATTTAAATTTAAATTCAAAATTAAATAAAATCTAAAATGCAACACTTTAGCTCATCCTAGCGTGATTCCAAGTGCTCAGTGGCGACATGTGCTCAGCTGCTGTAGTGGACAGTGCAGATCTAGAAGGTTCTATTGGACATCACTGCCTGACCTGTAGAGGGTCTCCTGGCCCCACCCAGCTTCTTCACAGGGCCTTCCATGACACCTGGGTCCCAGATCTTGGCCTGGCCACCTGCTAGCTGTGTGTCCTCATTAAAGCCACCCAAACGTTGAGACTCAGCTTTCCTATCTCTCAAAATAAAAAGGGAAATGCACTTTGAGTCAACACAGCGGCCTGAGACTGCTGTCCTTAGAAAGGCCTGCATACAAGGTTAGCCCTTGGCTGGCATCTGGGCGCTTGGGTTGTGAGAGACGCCCGCCATTCCCTCACGATGACTCACTGTGTAAATTCTGTGCAAATAATAAGGTTTATGTTACACACCTGCTTCCCCTGTGACTCTGGAATTCTGATTTGTGCTACAGATGGGGCCTCCATGGCCACCCCCCCAATAAAAACCTTAGGTACTGAATTTCTAATGAGCTCCCCTGGTTGGCACCATTTTATTTGCTGGAGGAATTAAGTGTGTCCTGTGTGACTCCACTGGGAGAGGACTCTTGGAAGCCCGCACCTGGTTTCCTATGGATTTTGTCCCACTCGTTTCTTCCACGGCTGATTTTGCTCTGGCTCAACTAAATCATGTCTGTGCCTCTCTGCCAAGTCCCATGAACCCTCCCGTGAATCACAGAACCTGGAGGTTCCTGGGGACCTTGTGCCATGTGCCATGCTGGGTGGAGTCAAGACACTAATCATTACAAAAATTCTGCGAGATAGGTTTCATTATCCACAGTTGACATTTTCTATTATCCCCAACCAACTTCACAGAGTTGCTCTAAGGCAGTGATGGTGAACCTTTTGAGCTCGGCGTGTCAGCATTTCGAAAAACCCTAACTTCACTCTGGTGCCGTGTCACATATAGAAAATTTTTGATCTTTGCAACCATAGTAAAACAAAGATTTATATTTTTGATATTTTATATATTTAAAGGCCATTTAACAAAGAAAATCAACCAAAAAAATGAGTTTGCGTGTCACCTCTGGCACGTGTGTCATAGGTTCGCCATCACTGCATATGGTCTGGTTCCAAAGTTCCTCTAATACCTTACCTTACACACCTCTCACATTAACTCAACCTGGCCCAGACTAATTATTTTTTTTTTCAAAATGGCAGGTTAATTCTCATCAACAGGCCCAAATTATTACGTTATATGGCAGATGACGTTATACTCTCTCTCTCTCTCAAAAAAACTGACCAGGAATCAAACATGCAACCTAGGGAATCGGTGACTGGGAATCCCTGACTGGGAATCGAACCCACAACCTTTTGGAGTACAGGACAACACTCCACCCAACTGGCCAGGGCCGCAAGCAGTTTTGAGATAACTTTCAGGAGATTTTGCTTCCCTGTTCCGCAATTCTGCTCATTGGGAACACTTCCCAAATAACCTTGGTACGTGGACTTTGTTTTGGGTTAAACTCTCAGGGGAACCTAGGATAAGACAGTTGGTATCAGAAATGACACTAAAAAACAGGACTGTGTAGGATTTTAGAGCGTGGGTCATTCAGCAGTCAAATGGCAGTAAGAACCCCATTGCTGTAGTAGTAGGAGGATGGTGATTAACCCTGGCATGGAATAGCATCATGATTACTAAGACTCATCCATGGGGGGTTGGATGAAGTACCAGTGGAAGGAGAACACTAAGTTATCTAGTGGTTATGCATCTGAATGATACAGGGGAATGGTTATTATAAAGACTAAAAGTGTAGGCTTTTATAGCTTGCTTTGAAGGCCTTAAGAAAAGAATAAGACAGGTGTGGGTCAGCTAACTATGAACTCAAGGAACA